CCCACACCCAAGCCCCCGCCCCGCCTGCCCCTGGACCCGCCCCGCCCTGGCCACGCCCCCAGTCCCCCTCATTCTAAGGCTGCTCAGGATCCTTCTCTCCCAGCTGCGCCTCTGGCCCGGCCGCTCCAACCTGGGCGCTGCGCTAACCACACGCCTGGCCCCAGCTCCTGCCCATGCCTCGACTAAGCTCCAGCCCTGGCCCTGGTGCCCTCATACCCAACCTCCACGAAGGCCAGGCCCTCCCCTTTCCAACTCCTCAGCCCTCACCCAGACCAGGCCCAGCCATGACCCCTTCCTGGCCGCCTGGCCTCGTGCCAGCCCCACGCAGCCCCTCCAGGCCCAGCGCGGCCCTCACCAGGCTCCTGCCTTGGTCCAGCGCTGACCCTGTCTCCCAGGGCCAGCCTGGTGTCCCCCCAGCGGCCCCTCACCGTCAAAGAGGGTGAAGAAAGCTTCTCTCTCGTCCTTGACGTCCAGACGGTAGGTCTCTGGGAAAAACTCTTCCATTCTCAGGACCCTGAGGGGTGGGGAGGTGGAAGGAGGTGCTGTCCCTTCATCCCAGGCTGCCTGTGCGCGTGCTTTGAGGCCTGGCCTGTGGCGGGAGGGAGCACGGCCCTGGCACCTGGAGCCCTCGGCCCTGCTCCTCGTGGGGTGTCGAGTTTCCTGCTCCTTTGCAGGCCCCACTCGGGCTGTGCTGCTGGCTGCAGCCTCTGGCTGCCGACCCCACCCGGCCCCTCCTTCGCAGCTGCTTCTTTCCTGGTGGCTTTCCTGTCTGGCATCGTCTCAGCCGTGAGCCACCAGCTCCCGGCATGTCCTCGTGGCTGGGACCACGCGCACATGCACGGGGGTCAGCATGGGTCTCTGCCTGGCCAGGATGGACCCCTGGTTCTAGCTCCTGGTTCTCCCTTGTGTGGGACCCCCATCCTGCTTTCTCCTTTTCAGTCAACACTGGGTTTAAGTCTGAACTGCGGTCTGAAGGCTCCTCACAGCAGGGCTGAGTGTCCACTCTGTGGCCCCTCACAGCGGGGCTGAGTGTCCACCTCTGTGGCCCCTCACAGCGGGGCTGAGTGTCCACTCTGTGGCCCCTCACAGCGGGGCTGAGTGTCCACCTCTGTGGCCCCTCACAGCGGGGCTGAGTGTCCACTCTGTGGCCCCTCACAGCGGGGCTGAGTGTCCACCTCTGTGGCCCCTCACAGCGGGGCTGAGTGTCCACTCTGTGGCCCCTCACAGCGGGGCTGAGTGTCTACCTCTGTGGCCCCTCACAGCGGGGCTGAGTGTCTACCTGTGTGGCCTGAGGTGTCCTGGGCTTGTCCACGGGAGGTCCTCCAGGGTGGCCGCTGCTGCGTCCTTTCCCAACCTGCAGCCCAGGGGACAGAGGGCCTGGCTGAGGGGCCACTCATGATGCTTGGAGCGGGTGGGGACTGGGGGATGGGGCGTGGGTGGTAGTGGGTGGACACATGAGTTTTGATGAGAGCAGGCAGCTGGGTGGACAGAGGTGCCCGGAGGAAACAGCAGCATTGCTGTAGCTGAAGTGGATGCTGGACATGGTGTAAGGAGAGCATCACAGGTGACCGGGGGCGGGGCAGGGCAGGGGCGGCAGGTGCAGACTCACCTGGCCTGGGGGCCGCCTGGCACCTTGCTGGCCTTGCTCATGGCCTGTGCCTGCCCCCGGAGGGTGCTGAGCAGCCCGATCTTGGTGGTGAGGAGCTTATTGTTGGGAAGCTGGTACAGCAGCTGCTCTCCTGGAGGGCAGAGGCCAGGGCGTGTGCGGAGGGCGTGCGGGACCTGGGTCCCCACCCCTCCAATCTGCCCCGTGCTCCAGCCCAGGAGGCCCTGCCGGCGGCCTGTCTGAGACGCCCGGCGCCCCCACCGCTACCTTCCCGGAAGCTGCTGTAGCTGTCCCGGCTCTTGACCTCGCACCACTTCAGCATGTAGTCCTCCCGGCCGCTGTCCTGGATGCGCTTCCAGCCCTTGCTTTTGCAGTAGGAGCTGATGCTGCGGGGCGGGGAGCAGAGGTGACGGGGTGGGGGGGGGCCCAGGTGAGGGGGTGGGGACTGCGGGCGGCCAGTGGAGGCCGGGCTGGGCCCCAGAAGCAGGCGGTGGGCGTTCAGCGGGGTTGGGTGGGGGGCGTTCAGCGGGACCAGGGCCGGCCCGTACTCACATTGAGGCCCCATTGCTGCCTCCAATGTAGAAGAAGGGCCCGGGCTGGGTGCTGTGGGACGATGGCTTCCCACCCCCCAGCAGGAGCCCCTCCAGGAGGGCAGCTGGGGGCCCAGCAGCCTCAGCGTCATCCGGGTCTGCAGGTGGGCAGCTGGTCGGGAGCCCAGGGGTTGTGGGCGTGGCAGAGGCTCTTCCTGCCCCCTCCAGGTCTGGCCCACAGTGCCCGCCTGCATCGTGGTCTGGCTGGCCTGGCTGACTTGGGAGTCCCTCCTCCTGGCCACTCCCCATTGGCCTCTCATGGGCTGGGCCTGTGAATGGGTGGGGCGCCGTCCACTGAGCCGGGACCCTTGCCAGCCAGTTGCATCCCAGCCCGTTCATCACAAGCCTGGACAATCCCCCCGGCCTGTCTGGGGCTCAAGTTCAGCCCAAGCTCCCACGCGGCTGGACAGCCCGGGACTGCTCACAGCTGGGGAGGAGCCACAACCACCCTCCAGGGCCTGGCTTCCTGCCGGCAGGGTCCAGGTGAGGGCACGGAGCTCGGAGCAGGGGCAGGGAGGGCCCCCACCCTCCTCACCAACAGGGCAGCGGCCTGGCACAGGGCAGGGACTGGGCGGAGAGGCCTGTGCTGGGTGCAGACTTGGCAGCAGGGGTGGCCCCAGGAGGGCAGGGGTCACAATGGCCATGATGACGTCACGGGTGACCCGAGGGGCCATTACCAGGCAGGGGACAAGGGGGGCTGCCCTTCTGGCCACAGGCAGGGGCAGTGCCACCCGTGGCTGCCTCTGGGGGTGGTACCAGCTGGACAGAACCTGGGCCGTGGACTGCGGCGTCTCCCTCTGTGCCTGCAGAGCCAGTGTCCACAGCAGGCCCCTCTCAGAGCAGTGGGGCATGGCCGTGCGTGGGTCCTGGTCCCACCCTATGAGACTGACTTCCCGGGGGATGGGCCGCCTGTCCCAGGGTGGCCGTGGCCTTGGAAAGGAGGAGGCCGCCCAGGGCTGCTCTATTCACCGAGACTCGAGCTGGGCGCCGCTGACTCTTTCGCTGCTTGCCCCTCTTGGAGCCGGCTCAGGTCCGAGTGGGCCGTCCCTGGTGCTGGGCGAACTGGGCGTGGCTGCGGGCCACTAGCCGGGGGGCACCAGGGTGAGGGCCCTGCAGGGAAGATGCCGCTCTGACCCTCCTATGGGACCTTCCATCTCCCCGAGGCCCCAGCGCTTGGGTGGAGCAGGCAGTCGGGCCCACCCAGCGTGGGGAAGGGCGCTTCCTGGGGCTATGGACCCGAGCCTCTGCATGCGCTGGACCCCGTCTCCTGGGGCAGCTGTAGGGCCTGGTGCCCTGTGGGGTCGAGGCCCTCTCTGGGCCCCGTCTCTGCCAGGCGAGCCCTCCCTGCCCAGAGCTGCTCCTCAGGCATGGCCGAGCTTGACCTGGGTCCCAGCTGGAAGGAGGGGCAGCGTCAGGCCTGCTGGGTGGGGCGCCCGCCCGGAGATGGAGGGTGGGAGGGCTCCCTGGCCTGAGCAAGGGTCTCCCCTATTTCCAATGGTGACCCCAGAGCCCAGCTGTGGGCTGAGTGCAGCTGCCTGGCGCCTGCCGTCAGGGTTCTGCTGCGGCCGCCCCCGGGGCCCAGGCCAGACCCCCAGGACGCCGTCCCCTGCAGCACCTTCCCGGGCTGCAACTTAGGAACTTCTCCGGAATTTTCAGCCACTTCCTTGACAGATCCTTCCGCCTCCGTCTCAAGCAAACAAACCTATCTTGGGGCTGCTTGGGAGGTAACGAGTTTTGTTTTGTTTTTGTTTGTTTTTGAGCCGGAGTTTCGCTCTTGTTGCCCAGGCTGGAGTGTAATGGCGCAATCTCAGCTTACCGCAACCTCCACCTCCCGGGTTCAAGTGATTCTCCTGCCTCAGCCTCCCAGGCAGCTGGGATTACAGGTGCCCGCCACCACGCCAGGCTAATTTTGTATTTTTAGTAGAGATGGAGTCTCACTGGTCAGGCCAGTCTTGAACTCCCGACCTCAGGTGATCCGCCCACCTTGGCCTGGCAAAGTGCTGGGATTACAGGCCTGAGCCACTGTGCCTGGCCTAGGTGAGGACTTCCAAGGGTTTGAAGGAACTCGGCCAGGAGACGGGAGAGGCCACGGAGGCTCCAAGGCTGGGGAGGGCTGGGGGAGGCCTGAGGCTCAGGCTGGTAGCAGAGCTTTCCACAGGCCGCCCCTGCAGCTGACCTGGCCTGCAGAGGCCTTTGTGTCTGTCCCCTGCTGCCCCGTCTCAGTGACAGGAGCAAAGGAGACAAGGAGGAGCCCACATGCAGGGGAAGGTGGGGAAACTGAGGCAGCCATCGACACGATGATCCGGCCAAGTAGGGCCCATCCTGGGGGAGGAGCGGAACACAGGCTGGGCCCTGCACCTTCGGCCAGGAGCGCCTGATGCGGTCTTCCTAGGCTGGGCTGGGCAAGAATGGAGGGAGTCAGGAGCCCTGAGACCCCTCCCCACCCAGAACAGGAGGGCCGGACCTGCGCTGGCGTGGGGCAGGCGTGTGTTTGCGCGAGACTCTGCATTAAAGGGAGATCTCGGCCCCTTCTCACAGGTTCTCAGCACCCAGGGTCCTCCTGGGGAAGGGGTCCTCTAAGGTAGCTAAACAGGCCACCCAGGCTCAGCGTCATCAGAAGGGCTCCCAAGTGTGAGCAACAGAGTGACAGATGCGTCTACACACACACACATGCACAGACATATGCACACACCCACACACCTACCTACACACACAGACACGTCTACACACACATGCACGCACAGACACACCTACACACACACCACGGAGTTCGCCACAGGACCGCCCAGCCCTGCCACCAGCACAGCACACACACCCTCCACCGCCTGACGTGGGCCTGAGCTGCTCGCAGGGCGGCACGGGGGCCAGGGACCCCAGAGCGGTCTCCACAGAGCGGGCTCAGCCTTGCCCCACCCCCTCCCTCCCCCACCGCCTTCTCTCCTGGGCAGCGTCCTGAGGGGACCTGCGGGGAGGGCATGGGGGGCGGGGCTGAGCCCACTGAGCCCACGCTGGCTGCAGGCGCCTCTCACCTGCGCAGCCCGAGGTCCCCGGGCCCCGGCAGGGAAGCCACACTGTGACCTGGCAACCATCTCCCGGCAAGCACCAGCACCAGTCACCGCGGGACTTAGGGGCATGGGAGGGGCTGGGGGCCGAGGCCGGAGAAGGGCCCCCCAGTCATCCCTGGGCTGAGCCCGGTGGCTGCCCCTCCACCCGGCCCTCCTGGGGCGGTCCCTGAGCAATCTCCCGGGTCCCACCCATGGTCAGCACCCCAGGGCCTGGCGGGGGCTGCCCCGGTGATGTTTGCAGAGTAAACCGCCGTGGATCTCAGAGCTTTTTCTGTTCTCCATGTGGTCACGTCCCCGTTCCCACTCCACAGGCAGCGTGCGGGCTCAGCAGGGCCAGCGCCCCCCAGAATGGGGTGGGGGGCTACTCACATCTCTCAGGCCAAACTGGAGCCCCTCACCATGTTGCAGATATTGGCCAAAGTGAAACATTCTGAGGGGGTTGGGGCCGTGAGAAACAGCCTGCCCAGCACCTGACCTTGTCACACTGGGAAAGGGTCCAAGGACCACACCGTGACCTTCTGGGGGAACAAGAGCCAAACACATCGCCTCATCATGAAGCTGTCCCACCCAGACCCCTCCGGCCCGCACCCGCGGGTGCCCGGACCCCTCCCGCCCGCACCCGCGGGTGCCCGGACCCCTCCCGCCCGCACCTTCGGGTGCCGGAGCCCGCAGGCCGTGGTGGCTCTGGTGTGAAGCGGGCCCACCCCCGCAGGTGTTTGCGATGCACCCGTCTGCTGCAGAGCCGCCCTTTATCTCTCTCTGTCTGTGTTTAACCCTCACCTTCCCTTTGAACCCCTCAACGATACCGTCTGGGAGTCCTGGGCTCCTGGCACGGCCCCTTGCACGGTCTGACCCCCTCTGCCTCAAACCCTGAGCCTCCAACCATGTGTTCCCTCCCTGCCCGTGTCCTTAGGAGCCTTGCATGTGTCACAAGGGTCCTCTTGCAGGGGCTGGGGTGCCCCTAAAGACCCACATCCGAGCCCCGAAACCTGGAATCTGGCCTTATGATCAGGGTCTTTGCAGGCGGGGTTACGTCAGGACCTCAGGTGCGATCGCCCAGGATTGGGCAGGCCCTAAACACACGGCCAGTGCCCTCCAGAGAGGGAGGCGGAGAGGGGAGAGGCAGACTGGGGCAGACGCCATGGGACTGGGGGTGGGCGCACACAGCAGGGGGCAGAGATGGGCCTGAGCTGGCAGCAGGAAGGCTGTGGCCTGCAGAAGGCGCCTTGCAGGAGTGTGGTGAACCACTCGGGCCGAATCCTGGCTGGCTCCTCCCTCCAGCTCCAGGAGCCTGAGCTCGGGGCCTTGGCTGGGGAGGAAGGGGCCTCACCTGTCTCTGGGGAGCCCCTGAAAGGAAGAGGGAGCTCTCGGAGGCGGGGGCGGCACGGGGCGAGTCCTACCCCTCTCCCTGGTTCTGTCCAGCAGGGAACAGTGTCCTCACCCCTCCCCACACCTCCACCTGGTGCCTGGTGCCCAAGCTTCGGGATGGTCCTGCCAGGCCCCTCTGCCCCCTGGGAGCCTCAGGTCAGGCTGCAGGTGGAGCTGGGGCGGGTCCTGGACGGAGTGGCTGGGCCTTTGGGGCTCGGGGGCCGCCTGGGGGGGATGATGGGCGGTGGGGGCCTCGGATGGATCTGGGGGTTCTCCAGGCTGGGAGCAGTGAATCCAGGTTTGGAAGCTCTGGCTGTGGGAAGGGGCCTACGTGTGTCCCCTCCTCCCCAAGGCCCAGGCAGGTGGCCCGGCAGGAGCTGCGGGGGGTCGGGGGTGGGAAGGACTTGCCCAGCTCCACTCCAGGGCTGACCCTTTGGGGAGCAGAGCTGGGCAGGGCCATGGCCCCTGGGTGGGAGGGGAAGCCTCGTCTGGTCTTCACATTGTACCTGACCTTTGGAGGATGTGATCTGGACACACGCCTCCAGGACAGGTTTCTGGGTGTGGGGTGAAGTGGGGGTGCAGCGAGCGTGTCCCCCAACCCCTGTGGCCTCCGTTTCCCACGGCCCCCCCTTCCCCTGGCCTCCACTCCCTGAGGCCCCCTCTCCTTCTGCCCTCCCCTCCCCGAAGCTTCCTCTCTGCTCCTGAGAGGGGGGCGGAGAGAGGAGAAGCAGACTCTGGGGAGAGGCCACGGCATGGGGGGGCAGAGACGGGTGATGTGGCCATAGCCACGGACTCCTGAGCCGGCAGCAGGAAGGGTATGGTCCCTCCCAGCATCC